TGTGGACATCTTTAGGATGCACATCCCGGGTCTTCAGAAGCGGTTACCTCCTCGTGGTTAGACCTGGGCAATGGTATTTTACTTTCAGTATAATGTTTAACATATTTTATATATGTTATACATTCCATTGCAAGTAAAACTCAGCCAAAGACCGCTTACCATAAACATTATAATTGTAATTAGTTTCTTTTAACTTCCTAATTAATACCATATCTTTTACCCCTTTCCTTGGTTCCTTCTATCCATTYAATATACAGAAACTAATTACTTTATAATGTTTTTTAATAAATATTATACTTTTACAGATATCACACGCGGAACAATCAAGAATGGTTCTAATTTAATTTTCATTTTTTTATTGTGTTTTACAGAAGGAATAATTTTTAATTAATAACTGTGTAGTGTTCCCCTTAAAAATTTACACGAAAAATAAAACACAATCTACTCGCGTCGAAATGTTTGAATATATTTTCAATTTTTTTTCACAAATCGATAATATATCGATAAAGAATCATTTCAATATCCAACGATTTCGATACCTCTAATTGCTTCTGCTATTTCGATCGATATTTATATCAATCAATATGTTAATGATTTTTGTAATACTATATTTTGCATATGCATACATATTTTAATACTATTTAATTATGTTTTATTGGCAAACATGTTTAGATTTGATGATATTAAAAAGATCCATGTCAGAAAATATAAAACATCATGTCCACTAGTAACATGGCAAAGGAACGTACTCCTTTACAATATTTAATCGGTAAAAACATAATTAACCTAATCACGATTAGAAGAAACATAGACTTGTGAAACTGTTAATAATATAATTTGCATTTATTTAAAAAAAAAAAAAATAAGGAGGAGCAGTTGGAGGTTTATCTGTAGTACTCGTTGGTCATCCATTCGATACCATTAAAGTTCAATTACAAATGTCACCGGGTGTATACAAGGGTATGTTTCACGTAGCTAGAACTCTCATTGCAAAGGAGGGACCTTTTAGTTTGTACAAGGTATAATTATTTTCATTTTTCGTTTTTAAAAAAATTTAACAATAATCATGATTTTTTATAAATGATAGGGTATAACAGCACCTTTGGCAGTCGTAGTTCCTTTCTCGGCTATGGGATTTTTTTCTTTTGGTGCCGGGAAATTACTTATATCACAGCCAGGTCAAACTAAATTGTCGGGCCTGCAATTATTATTCGCAGGTATGTTCAGCGGAGCGTGTACGACGATAGTAGCTGCTCCTGGAGAACGTATAAAGTGTCTTCTTCAAGCACAAGTACAGTTTACTCGAAACTATATTCATTTTTATCGAAGCACCCCTTTCTCATCATTTTTTTCACAATACGAATATATTTTTCAATGTCTTGTTCATTTACAACACTCGTTCTCTTCACCTTTATCTTTCACCTTTCTTTTTATGTTTAACTTTGATAAGAATAAAGGACCGAAGAAGTACAAAGGTTTCTTTGATTGTGCTCAAAAATTATTGAAAGAAGGTGGAATACGAAATCTTTATTTGGGTACCTGTGCCACTTTATTGAGAGACATGCCATCCTGCGCTACGTATTTTTATTGTTACGAACGAATCATGGAATTTCTTTTAGGAAATTCAACGGAGGTGAGTAAAATTTAACATAAAATAAAAATAATCACAATCGACGATTTCTTTTCTTCATTCGAAGTTTGTATTTTGAGATATTTTTCTACAGCATTCGTAAGAAAACATTTAACATGTATGCCCTTATTATAAATACTGACCATTAATTGTTTTATATATATATATTTAATAGAGTCTATTATAATATTTAATTAATTGATTAACAATAAGATAACATGGCAACCACTATTGGCTGGTGGTACAGCAGGAATAGCAACTTGGCTTGTTAGTTTGCCTGCTGATTCAATGAAGACACGATTACAAATTTCTCCAATGGGAACTTATCCACGCGGTGTTAGATCTATTTTTCCAATCATAATGAAAGAAGGAGGCATTCTAGGACTTTACCGAGGTGTGGTACCTGTTCTGATACGGGCATTTATAGCAAACGCGGCTTGTTTCTACAGTCTTGAGCTAGCATTTAATATTATGGATAAATACATATTGTAAAATGTATAAAACTAGAGAGAGAGACAAAAAAACATATTAAAATGTTGTTAATCCATTCATGTCTTTTATTTAATTAATGATTAAGCATTATATTATAAATGTTATCTTTAATAAGTCGATAACTAAGAAACCTATTTAATCGTCAAACACATCGCACAGTTGTGAAAAGCCAAGGTATCTTTTCAGTCGTGTCAGTTGATCATGCGAAGTATTGTGTGTGAGTAACACGTCACGTTGTTTCGAAAAAGAAAGAGATAAGAGATATTCTATTTAAAAAAAAAAGAAAAACCAATCTTCCTATTCGATGAAAAAAAAGGTGTTTAAAAAACTTCGATATAGCCACTGTCATTATTTTTATATTGCTCGTTAAGAGCATTGCTTGAAAAATTGTATAAATTGTATAATAATCAATGGGAACTCATAATTATTTCAAGGTAATATCGTATTTGGTAAGTTTTTAGTTTCGAATATTTTATACAAATTTATTAATATGATTATTAGGAGAATTTGTCGACGTGTCCATGTTTTTGTTAATTTGCTTTTTCTCTTTTATATTGTACGCTAAATGTTTCATTTTGCAAGTAATCGTAATATCCCAGGTATTATCAATCCTGATATCAAACCATCAATCATAGTAATGATTCCGTTCTTCTTCGGGTCAATAATTTTAATTAATACTTAAATATTTAACAATATTTATTAAACAAAATCGCAATTCGTCATTCTTCGTATTTTCCTTTTTCCTTACGCGAACAAATAAACGAAATGTAAATTTCCATTGAATATTATTCATGTATATTATATAACATTAAAAAAAAAAAAGATTGAAAGTAGGAATGAATTATTGGGAAAATAATTGATTAGAAGAAAAAGTAACAAAATTGTCTGGAAATTGTTTAGAATAGAGGAAAATTCATGTTGTCAGATTAATCGAAATTATTGTTAAAAGAATATTTTCGATCGAGTTATCTCAATGAAATGTTGAAAAGAGTTAAACGAACGTTTTTACAAACGTTGTGTATTTTCCGATAGACGAAGAATTCCTTTGGTTAGCCGGGTGCACTTGGTCTAAGACACATTTTAAACGTCAACGCCACACGTGATCACCGAGGCACGTGCACGCTGAGTCCACGACCCGTGGAATACGTACGTATATATGTATCTATATACATAGATACGTATAGATTAGATTTTCTAGGCTCACCATCAAACGACCGTACGTCGATAATTAACTATCCTTTCATTTTCATTCATTTTGTTTATTCGTTATCATTACATGATTTCAATTAAGGATATTAATCCATTTCTTTCATCAGTTTTATATAAATTTTTATCAAATATTATTAATGTGTTAATTTAATTAACAGGGTTGAATCAATTAAATTAATTTTAAAAAATATCTCTACAGAAAGATTACGATACGTTGGGTTAAATAATGAAGATATACGTAAAGATGTGTAATGTAATAAAATTTGATATGAGTAAGATATAATTGAAAAGAAAATGAATAAAATAAAAGTTAAATATCTTTATTAAATAATTAGATATACACATTATATATATATATTATAAATATTGTACATTTTTCTATATTACATTAAACGCGATTTTATATATTATCATCAGGAAGATTAAATGTATAGTGGAAAAGTAAATGATCAAAGTATCTATCGGAAAATTGGTGTCACGATTCCAAACGCGTAAAGAGATTTAAAAGTCAGTTAGTTAGACTCTTAAATGTCAGATGTATCGAAGAACGGAGACTTTCAAGTAAATCAAAGGATCGTGCTTGTTAGGAAGCTTTGTATATTCAATAGTTTAATGTATTAGGTATATACGGAAATCGTACTATTGCTAATAAATAATTTATCGTTTGAACTTCGACGAAGTCACGTGTAGTCACGTTAACTAAAAAAGTAATATCGCGAGTACCACTTATAATTAACATACAGTGAATGTTATTTAAAATCGTACGCTTCCTAGATTTTTGCTTGAAAATTATTGATATATTGTATTTAAGATGAATTTAGTAAGCGTAATGGTGTACGATTTTAATTAGCATTAACACATATTTGTTCATTGATTCTTTCCTTAATTCTAATAGAAAAGTTAATCGAATGAATATGTATAATCGTAGATAAATATTTCTTGCAGGTGTTAAAGAGAGAGCTTCTGGAATAATAAGTTTTTAAACCATGCTGAATAAAAGTGGCGTAAAAGATACGTGCACATTTTCAGATATTTATTGGAATTCAACGAACGGTGAAATTACTTGGTCCAATAATTTTTATTTAACTGCAATTACGGAGAAACTTGTGGATTCTGAATGCAATCAAAATTACAAGTGATTCAAATATTTACGCTCGTTTAACATTTGCACGTTAATTATTGTCAAACATATACCAAGATTTATGATGTATGCATGCATCTATCTACATATACCGTGAATTCCATCCACTTCCTACCAACTGTTCTTAAGTATAGTTTTTACTCCGAATACCTGTCACTGAGGTCCCTACTAAATCGCTTTTCAAACACGTGAGTCGATACAGGTTCTGCGTATCCGTGCCAGGGACGTTAGTTAGAATGATTTCTCTTACTATTTTCTTTAGTTATTAACATTTCCTTGAAAGATTTATTAAAAATACATAGAGTGTCGTATCACTCCATTATATCTCATGTTAAAATCCAAATTTTATGCATGTTAAAATGATAGAGTGTATCAAGATGGAAATTATTTTCAAACAGTAATATTTTTGTTCGCGAATATTGCAACGAATGATAAGTTTAAAAATGGTTTATGAACATAGGCCCAACCTGTAGAGATTAAACACGTATAAATATATACTTTATTGGTTTGTTCACGTGCTTGAATATTCAAAGGATAAATAAAATTATGCAAATATATCTTAGAAAAATTAGCTAGAGGCAAAAACGAGCGTACACGTGAGCGGTAAAGATAAGCACGTGAGTGCCCTACAAGATTCTTGCTTTTAGTATACTTCGAACGTGAGTCCCTGACCCGTTTAGCAGTACTTTTACTGTATGCAAGTACTACCTTCACTGATTCTGCACGAGAACGAATTTACTTGGCCTATAGCTTGCTTCCTTTTTGGTACATATCCTCACGTGCAACGTTCCTTGCCAATCTCCTCTCCTTTTTATCCCCCCTAAGTAAAAAAGTATCTCCTTTCTTTCCCCACCACCTTTTCTTCACTTCATCCCCCAACAAATTGAGATCAATGGTTAACTTACACAATAATTACATGCCTTTCCAATCCTCCTTTCGCTTTTTCTCGGTGTTTGGTCTTTAGTCGGTAGTTGGTGAAAAGCCACCGTTCCTTGGCGACAACGAATCTTCCACTAGTCTTCCTTTTAGTAACTGAAGTTTCAATCATTTACGCTCTTGGAGAGGTATATTTCGTTGCCAAAAGAAATATAATTCAATTGGATATATCTCCTTAAAGGTAGTTAAAATCCTAAACATTGTTATTCATTTCTTTGATTTTTCATCATTTTTCTCTTTCTTTTGGATTTGATTGCTCGTGCTTTTTATTGAACTGTGATTCATTTTGCTAATTGATCCCGTTAGATGTTGGCACTGATAAGTACGTCGAAATCGGCGTATATCGATATCGATAATGAAGGATTCAATACCGCGTTAACATTATCCAGTGACAAAACTACGATTGAACAAAAAAAGGATCGTTCTCGAGGAATCGAAGATAATGCTTTAGCGAAGAGTCTTCAACTTTTGAGGATCAGGGGTTCACCGCATTTGTTGCCAGAAGGTATACCATTCTTTTCTTTTTTTATTTTTAGACTTACAATTAAACGATATTAAAGATTTATTAATATTTGTTAAATATGTTAATTTTTGTTCTTTCTTCCTTCAGATATATTAATGTTGGTCAATCATTGTCGATATCTTCGCGAATTGTCCATGTTTTATTCCTTATTAAGCGACGATTTACTAATGGCATTGTGCACCGAGGAACAAATCAATTTGGAAACCCTACGAATAGAAATACATTCCGAAACGACACCTCTTCCGGTCATCAGTGAAAAAACGTGGACAACCTTCGCCGATCGATTTCCAAACACCAATCTCATTCTGTAAATGACAGATAATCATTTGTTTTTTTAATTATCTCATTGTCGTGTCTGAAACTTGAGATGTTCTCTTGAAAAAAAAAAAAGAAAAAATATATATAAATTGCAGTTAGATAACGCGACATTGATATAACTGATAGTTTTTTTTATTTTTTTGCAGATTATCTTACATAACCGATGAAGAAGAACATAAATCCCTTTTTACGTCACGTATACCTGTTACGCATTTGTATTTTGGAGAAGCACCGCCTGAGTCTGTAGCATTAAGAATTCACAGTTATTATCCACGATTAGTTGAATTAGTTATAGCTGCTTATGGACCTGGTCTAATCGATGATGTTTTAATCAACGTTGCTCGAGGATGTCCTAGTCTCAATTCCATCGGTTTGGGTGACTGCGAAATTAGGTAATAAAAATAAAATTTCACTTCTCCTAGAATTGAGAACTATTGATTGTTAAATATATTTTCTATAAAAATAATTAATACGTAATATATTGTTCTAACAATTTGATTTGTCTTAAAGTTGCATGGGTCTTCTTAAATTCGTAACCATATGTGCGGAACGTTTAAAAATACTTTATATCCGGGAGACATCTTTAATCGAGGATTTAGAATTGGATGTTTTGGATGTAACAGCCAAGGTTTCTTCGCTTCTTGGAGATACTTGGGTACCCGAGTATATACCATTATGGTGAAACGTATTATCTTACTCAATAACGGGAAACCGTGAATGAATAAAGATTTAAACAACGTTGATTTAAAAAACGTAACACGATGTGATAAATGATACGTACGCGCGAGAACTATATACGTATAAGTGATAATCAAAATCCAAGGATATATGCATTTTTGTACTTATTTAACCAATAAATTATTTAGGCTATAGATTATTGCATAATATAAATACAATGTACATAATACACATACTTTATGTTAGAAGTTTTCTGCAGTATTTATACAACAAGAAAAATGTCGATTTATTTAAGTCTTATTTTTAAGTTTTATTTTTAAGTTTTATTTTTATAATATATCTAGATTTTATTACGCGTTCAGTGTTTTCCACTCAAATCGATATTTTAATGATATATAATATATATACTTTGTTATATAAATTAATCGTATTCATTGATATCAAAAAATATAAATTTTATTAGATTATAATGGACTTAATGTGTAATAGATATACAAAATAAAACAATATCACTAATTATTCATCACCATCGCTCGTGGCAGATATGCATAATATATATAAATACATTTGTATGTATATATTATACAATATCTAATATATAATAATATATATACACACCCACACATACATACGCACACGCACACACAGTATTATTGTAATGCAACGAGGTTTGTACAATTTTTCTACAATATAACACAATAATTGATCGGGCATTTAAAAGATGCGATTCTTAAAAACATTAACAGATTTTTGTGTTTTCGATTATAATTATTATTTTTTAAATTTTCATATATATTAAAATTATATATATTTAATCTTTTCATTTTTTTCATATCTTGCCAATATTATTTTAAAGATGCGAGGTGCTCAGTCTTGTATCCCAGCCAGTAAATCCAATCTCTTTGTTTTTAATCCCTCCATGAAGTACCTAACGTTTGAATAGTTCACATATTTCAGCTTGTAACAAAATTTACAATAATTTAAGGATACAAAATATTCATACAATATATTTCATTCATATAGAAATTCATTATTTCACTTTAGAGAAAATAATATATCACTCAATCTAAATCGTCAAAATATAATAGAATTGTTCATATCGACATAGCTACAATATTTTTAGCAAGTACTCAAATATTTAATTGGAAGTAACAAAGCCTTTTCGTTTCTAACGTGTATGTACCCATACTTAAAATATTAAACTACAATAACGTTTAATAATAATAGAATTTCGTACATTACAATTATAAATTGTATATATTATGCAATATCACACATTTTACAATATTGCAGGAACACATTTTTACAAAAATTTCATAATACCCATACAAAACAAATATAAATATATTCATAAATTCATATATAATAAACCATTGCATATATTATAATTTTTGTTTTGCATTTTTAACACTTTTGAAGAAATAACATAATTAATAATTGATAGCACATATGGGTACATCACATATTTCTAATAGATATCAATAGAAACTTAAAAATATATCATTTGTAATGGACGATTAAGAAAAAATATTCTAATGAAAAGAGATATTACGTTATTGTAACATCTGCTTCTTCAACTCACTTTGTATAGTTAAATATGTATTTATATACAATAATATTCGTTCATTAATATTTAGCTACCTATTTGATTAAAGGAAAAACTCTTTTTAAAAGCACATAAAATGAACTGCAGCAGTAATTACAAATGATTAAATTTTAATGTGTTTCATTATTACGGTATACCATAATCAATTTTTAGCACCATCGTACACGCATACTTATTGTAATTAATGCATTGACTTATATAGAAATTATTTTTAACAAAAAGGCCGATTATTAATATTATATTATCGTTGAATAATTTATAGTTAATAGATAAAAAAAAAGAAGTAAGTTATTTGGAAAAAAAATTTACATTTCAAAAAAGAATTACTGAAACAAATGGACGGGTCAATTACTTATGCTAAGGACAAATTAAGTGATTAGATATGTGGAAGATAAAGTAGATCTAAACTCGTTATCATATTGAGCACCATAACAATTACACTATAACATACATTTTTGGAGCCAATTACTTCGATTTATATGCAAACATAAGTTTGTTTCAACCTTTAAGTCAAACAGGGATAACATAATTACCTTTTTTCATTTGTATTTTATATAAAAAAACAAATAATGCTCTTGTGAGCATCTTTAAAATTTAATTTCCAATAACAAGATGCATAACATGATCATCACGATTGCCCTGGCGCATGTTAAACTAACAATAACAATTTGTTATAAGACCTAGTGTAGCGAAAATAACAATTTCATATTTATTATTTAATTTACAATTATATACCCACCTCTTTCTCACTCTCTCTCTCTCTCTCTCTTTCTTTTTCTTTCTCTTTCTTTCTCTCTTTCAGTTTCATGTTACGTACATGGCAACTCACAGGTAACATTGAAAAGAATGTATTAATATTCAAGATAAATTCTGTAATGTAAGGCGTGTTATCTTGGAAATATTAATCCAATATATAAATGAGATTATAGAAACATATGTATACCTAGGCCAATTCGATCAATCGGGCATATCTATAGAAATTATAGGCACTACAGGTTTAGTTAGGTCAATTTTCTTTATGTGCTTCTCATTCTTTTCACTAACCATTGGTTCGGATGGCGGTTGATCTTGTTCGCCTCTTGGTTGATAAGAAATGTTACCATACTCTTGAAGCAATGGACATAGGCTTAACAGAAAATGGCAAAAGTCCTTCCGAATACCAAACCACCCTGTAAAAAATAAAGATATGTTTTAACAGATCAATTAAAGATTTCAAAATGTTTCAGCATGTGAATATCACTTACATCTATTTCCTCCTTTCGCTCCAAAAGACATGAAAATAAGTGTTATGTGAGATATGAGTAAAGGCATCGCTACTGTTGTATAATTTAAAGAAATATCACCGTCCAATTTATTAGCTAATAGTACCTGATAAAATATAACAATAATTAACATTTAAGAACTTAACATTAAACAATCGACATATATAATATATTGATTTTCTTATTACTTACTTGAAATATTAAAATTGGAACAACAAGAAATGTATATGCTAGTGCTGAGTGTAAAGATGTCCGCCTTTGTCTTGCATTAATCTGAGGTGTTCTTAATAGAACAGCAGCAAACACTATTGCATATAGAACAGCAACTAGAGACAAACAAAGGAGTGCCCAAAGAGGTACAAACACCACCTCCCAACTCCAAGTAATAAAGCCATCTAGTCTTAGTGCCAAGAAAATAAATTGCAATACATTGACAGCGCAAAATAATTCTAATTCAAAAGACCTATCGTGTTTCACAGCCCAAATGCAAACCTAAAATATAAAGATGATTACAGTCGATATATAAATATAATGTAATTAATAGTAAGTAAATAAACATATAAATACTACATACAGCTATAGATACAACTGAGATGAAAATCAGCGGTATAAAGACTAATATCCATAAATGCCTATCAGATTCCAGTTTGTCGCATACTAACAATTCGAACATTAACAAGATCAAATGTAATGCCAAAGTAATCAACATTGCTTTGTAATGAACATAGGCATCTCCTTCCAATCTTGAATGTGGATGTCTCCACCAAACATAACTTCCAATGGTAGCACCCAATATTACCATACCCTTCCAAAACCAAATCGGGCTAAATATTGTCCAGTAGCTCCATTCTATGAAACCATCCAATCGAAGAGCGAACAAAGCAGTAAATATCATCAAACATGAATAGACCAAAAATTTGCTATAAAATTAAAGAAAAAAATGTATGAGTAATAAATTTTATAAGACAATCTCGTACTTCTACTCAAACATTTATTATTAAAAATATATAAAATATATAAATTTTTAATATTAATATTTTATTATATTCTTTGATATCGTTTAAACACCATAGAAATAATTATTTCTTTTGCTGGTGTTCACGCAAACGTATAACAAAGAACCAAGTGATGATAAATTTAGAGTAAGTTCAAGAGATTTAAATAATAAGGACAAGAGGAAGATTACCTTGGATTGAAATCTTGAAAAAGTGTTTGCAGATTCATGTTTGTCAGCACTGCCACGAAAGATTAAATCTTTTTCAATAATATTTATTTGTCTATACATTCCACGAATGATCTTTCATTTATCGCGCAGCCTACTGCGGAAAATCACAGATAATTTCTCGTGCATTTGCCTGCATAAAAAATAAATTACACCACATACTATGCAAAATTTGGAACGTACTGAAAATAGCCAAAGGCCATCACTTCTATGGTCAATATTACCAACATCACGAGCTGATATATCGCAATTCGATATACGATAATCATAGTAGGCAACTTCATGGGGATACAATACTTTTTTAATTTATTATATGCATAAATACATATATTTTTATCTAATAATTGAATATTATCAATCTTTCAAATATCAGGACATATTTTATACAGAATCTTTTGAAGATTAGGAAGAAAAAAATTAAACATTCAATATTTCTTAATATATAAAGAATATAAAATTAGAATTTGTATGTTTTACAAGCAAAACTTCATCTATTTTTAATGTTTATCCTTTATTAAATTTAATTTATGTTTTATTATTGTTTTTATTATAATTCTTTATGCAATCAAATAATTTTGTACTTAAATTAATGACTCACGTAGTATCGACCAATGGTCATGTGAGATATTTTTTCTTTAAGTTGTTAGTACCTCGCGCTGCTACTTCCGGTTCTTTATCATACGAGTTCAACTATGGCGGTTGGTAAAAATAAGGGTCTATCTAAAGGTGGCAAAAAAGGTGTTAAAAAGAAGATGTAAGTAAATAATATTATAATATTCATGAATATTATTTAATTAAGTATCCCATTATATATTACTTAAATAATTATTTTGCATGATGGTTGTTTTCTTCGATGGATTTGTCTTCCCTAGCCTTTAATCATTGCATGCTTGCAATGCTTGCACTGCAACGATTATTACATTAATTCATAATAAATGCGCTTTTTCTAATATATTATGATATTATTTGTATTTTAAGATTGAAAATTAAATCATATAATTTGCAGAATTTTATTAGTAATAAATTAGTAAAAGTAATGGTTTATTTTAATATTTATATTATTGCTATGCTATCATATTTGAATAAATATGTTAGCACATGTAAATATATAAATTATATTTTCTGTTAAAATACAAAAGGTTTAACTTTTAAGCATAAACTGATTTCCATTGAATTTTTTAAATACAGTTTACATTGAAATAAAATTATATTTCTTTTTTATTACACATGTAATAGTGCATATAATTATTTTATAAGTATTCATTTCATTTTGCTTTTACAATTCTATTTCAGTGTTGATCCTTTTACACGAAAAGATTGGTACGATGTGAAGGCTCCTTCTATGTTCACAAATCGTCATGTTGGAAAGACATTAGTAAACAGGACTCAAGGAACAAGTAAGATTACTTTCTAAATTTTTATAATTACATGTTTATAAGTTATATTCGTTAAAGAAAAGATCTATTAAAATTAGCACTTATTTGCTTCATCATCTTTTTGTTTACATCAATGATAGCATTGTTAAATGATATTCAATCAGTACTTGAAATTATAATATTCTTCCTTTATTTTAATACATCTCTATATCAACTATCTTTTTATTCTACAGAAATTGCATCGGAAGGTTTAAAATTCCGTGTATTTGAGGTTTCTCTAGCTGATTTACAAGATGACAATGATGCAGAGAGATCGTTCAGAAAATTTAGATTAATTGCAGAAGATGTTCAAGGCAGAAATGTCTTGACCAACTTCCATGGTATGGATCTTACGACTGATAAGTTAAGATCCATGGTTAAGAAGTGGCAAACTTTAATTGAAGCTAGTGTCGATGTAAAAACAACAGACGGTTATTTACTAAGAGTTTTCTGCATTGGATTTACAAACAAAGATCAGATGAGCACAAGGAAAACTTGTTATGCTCAACATTCCCAAGTGAGCTTCCTCAGTAATAAAATTTGTTAATTTCAAATAGCATGACCGCATTGCAACTAAGATACATATATATTTATACAAAAATATATATTTATCTATAAATATGATTTAAAGTTGCATATATAAAAGGCGCTCTCTTACCACACTACTTCTGAACAAAGAAATAGTGATATTTGTAGTTGCGACAATTACAATATTAAAATGTATATTATTAAAAAAGTATTATTATATTTATGTTTGTGACTAATATTCAATGAATTCATAGGTAAAAAAAATTCGTCAAAAAATGGTTGATAACATTACCAACGATGTTATCAAGAGCGACTTGAAAGGTGTTGTTAGTAAGCTATTGCCTGACGCGATGGCTAAAGACATTGAGAAAGTGTCACAGAGCGTATATCCACTCCATGATGTATACATTCGCAAGGTATCAATCTAATTAATCCAACACATGCTGCATGAAAATGACATATTGAAATTTAATAATGATCTTTTGAATAATTTGTAATAATTATTTGATCTCTTGTTTTTAGGTTAAAGTTTTAAAAAAGCCACGATTTGAACTGAGTAAATTACTCGAATTACACGGTGATGGTGGTGGAAGTAAAAGCGAAGATGTTGGGGAAAGTGGATCTAAGGTCGATAGACCTGAAGGCTATGAACCTCCTGTACAAGAATCAGTTTAATAATTTTATTCTTATGAAATTTCTTAAAAATAAAAACTACAATCCTATGTAGAAAAATAATTAATATGTTTTTCTGACTTTATTTCGAATATACATTTAATACAAATGATAATTAGCTTAAAGAAAATAGGAGACAGAAATATAACGTTGAGTTTTTATTTGGTCACAATACAAAACAGTAGAAAAGTAATTATAAAACCAGGAATATGTCTAATTAGAAAGGTAATATTTTCTTTGCACTAGTCCAGCTGCTTTCAAAAAATGTTTCGAAACCGCTAATCCATGAAAACAGCAGGTAGATTGTCAATGCAAAGAAAAGAATCTTCGTAAATATGTCTAACCAATACATTCTGTAAAAGAAAATATAAAATAACATTTATTTAAATCTCTATATAAAATATAAATTTAAAATTATACATTACATTCTAATGTGTCGACGAGCTGCTGGCAAAGTTTCGGCAGGTTCATTTAAAATATAAATTCTTGCAGCACGTACGCAATCTTCGAAATATTTGTACGTGTCCATGTCATTTCCGTGCAAATAGTATGTGTCGTACTCTCTTGCATTTAATTTATTCGTCACTGCCTTTATATTTGCATTAATAAAATCCCATTGATTATTGGCGTAATATTCGAACACTTCAAATCCTTTTTGTATGCGACGTTGAACTCGACACATACTATAAAAACAAAAGAAAAAAGATAGTAATTATATCTAATTGATAACTGTTGAATGATTTATCACTTACATTGGCTCGTAACGCGCAAGATATAAAATTGCATCAATAAAGTAAGCAGGAATCGTATGGAATAAAAACACGGAGATGTCATGATAAAGACGTGATTTTTTCATACTACCACCTGGGTACCAAACTACTCCATTTAAAGGTACTTTTTCTATTACACGACGACCAATTTCTATTACTTCCCTCCACGAAACCTAGATATATTATTTATAATTAATTATACAAAGTTGTGATAAATAACTGAAGTATGACTAAGTAATTAAAACAATTACTTTGAAATCGCTACTGCTAGTAAGATTGTATATTCTTTTATCACGATCTTTACAGTAAACAAAATTCCACGTGCAAGCAAGAATTGCATTTACTAATACATCAACAGGAAGATAATCGGCATAGCCGTTTTCATTGCAATACATGCTCCTAATCACTCCTTTTCCAGCACCTATTAGAAGACCTGTCGGGCCATTAATGTTATCCGTCCAACCTGGTAGTGGTTCTTTCCAAACAGGTATAACAACGCTTGGTCTATAATTATATAATAATTACAATTGTGTGTGATTCTCTTCTTTATTTAAAAAAAAAATCAATCAAATATCTCAAGATATTTTACCTTAAAATGACTGCTGGAATATGTGGCATAGCTTCTTCAATAATCCTTTCCGACAAAGCTTTTGTAAAGGCGTAGGTATTTGGTACTTTACCTAAGATTTTTTTTGTTATAGCCGACACAACTTCATCGTCCATCCACTCGACGCATTTTATTATCTTATGAGGATCCGCAGGAGGTGGATAAAATTTTTCTTCCAATAACTTCAAGCAATTTAGAGGTAAATTATCATTAGTAATATATAATTCATTGGCTTATAATTGGATAAATACATCAGGGCTTCTCAATTTGTGGCTGGTGATTTGTGTCTGTAAATTTCTAATGCAATGCATCCAGTACCAAGGATCGGGAAAATATTTGTTAGGGTGAATTGGGGTTGCCAAGTGGAAAAGTTTGAGAAACTCTAAGAAAATGTCCTTCTTTTTCGGAACTGTTAATATAATAATTTTTGTTTCTATTATTTATACATACTTTTTCTTCGAGGTGACAATAGGAAGTACCGATGTAACCGAAAAATATTAAATTCTTCATTTCTTTCGCCAATTCTACCATTTGTTGCGTACCACGTGTATTTAACAATACCGCTTTCTTTAACATCTCATCGAATCTTAGAAAAATAGGAAAAATATTAGGGAAAGTCACTAATCATTTTTTATTATCATTCAATGCATAAAGAGAAATAAATTAAACGTTTACCTAACGGTTGCCGCTGCATGATAAACGATGGTAACTTTGTCAATTAATATTTTTTTATCTTCTGCTGAAATGCCAAATCCCGGCAACATTACGTCTCCTTGTATTGGTGTTACCATCTTGTACATTGTTTCCAATCCTCTTTGTTCACGAACTTTGTCGAATATCTGTAAATTTATGTAGAAAAATCATTCATCTCCAATCAATTATAAGTTAAATTATGCAAAATTAATGGATCGTCATTTTTTTCGAGGATATTTCATGTTTTCTGCCGTATTTTACAAGAGAAAGGAGAATATATGTCTTATCTATGGCCAATTCACTTTTATTTTTTTTTTCTCTGTTTTCTTTGTATTTTTTTTTTATTTTTGACACAACAGTGATATGTTGTAGATACTAAAATAGAAACAAAATTTATTGTAAAATCCGTAGAAAGTGTTTGGAAGTTTGTAAGTCGGTTACAGTACAGTTTCATCACTAATTGTAAGATGCATAGAAATGATGCGATAGAAATCGTAAAAGTCTACTTTCGTCATTTCGCGTATACTTTTTAAACGCATACAAATATTATTCGTTAAACTTAAATGATCGTAAATTAAATTTATGCGTGTATGCGCGCGTATTGTGTGAAAAGTATTTTATTTCTAAATTATGAGACACGTTTTTGTGTATAGAAAATATTTTTCTTCGATTCCAATATCACTTATTCGCAAGTATAATTTTAATGATTTGAAATGAAAAATTCGCGTAGGAAAGAAAAATGAAATTAGAAAAAAAAAAACATTCAATGCAAGATAGAAATGAATATAACATAATTACATTAGACACATTAGAGAACGTATGGATAATCTAACGCAATAGAAAAGCAAAAAGCGTTACTAATAAACTCAATGAAGAAATTTCATTCTCGTAATTTCAATCATGTAGAATTTCAATAAATACTATTGTTCGTACGATGCATCCGTTAAAAAAAAAAAAAAACACGTAAAAATTTCTAGCCAAACTTCTTTTTTTAACGATATTCAAAACATTTTACTTACAAATTGAATATTAAATAGGAAGCTTATAATAATTATTGTAAGATTTCACGGATCGTAGTAGCCGTTAAAAGCAGTCATTTTAATTGGCTTTTTGTAATTGTAGTGTTTTAAAAAAATCCAACTATGTAATTATTATTCATCATACGATTATATACTTAACATTTGAAACTAGAACATTTATTTCTTTTTTTTTTTAATGAAGGAAAGTTGATCGTTATCAGTTTCGAAAGAGTTTATTTTATTTTATTTTTTTTTGTCCTGACCCTTTGGTCAATCCCGTAATTCCCTTAACAACACGCGTTTTATAATTCGTTTGAAAGTGATGTACATCTTTTACCAATTGTAATAAACCTACTGAATATAAAAGACACAATACTATCTACAGGTGTATAGGCATACGTATTAAGATACATAAATGCATACACAAATGCATACACAAATGCATACACACGCAAGATGTTATTACATTTACGGGTTTGAGTAGGCGAATTATACTTTCAAAAGTTATTCTTGAATATTCTATTATTACATTTAAATTGACATTTTAATATTTCACGAGGATATGCATATGCATAAAGATTTTTATAATCTATCATTTGTATTTTACATATTGCAAAATACTATTTAAAATCCATTTCATGTAGTATCAATTGGTTTTATATTTATTCCGATTAAATGAAATAGTACTCGTTACGAAATAACAAGATTTCTAGTAATGAGAAGATAAATGGTATTAGTTTAAATTCTTTCGTTACAACATGCTTCAACGCAAATATCGTTCCATATATAATAATTTCACTTGTTCGTACGATTCTTATATGATTCAGTATTTAATAGGAGGCTTTTGCATGGCCAACCCTTATATAGGTCACTGGTAATGAAAGAGTTAAATAATTTGATCATTAATATCACTTTACACGAATATGTAACGGTGATATCTCATGAAAGAAAAATATTCTGCAATGGTAACCATAGAACAAGATATGATATAATACCTGTGCCCAGTAGTACGAATAAATAATTTTCACGGTGGTTTGATTTTTATTCTACGATATTAAATAATAACTAATTGGAAAATAATAATAATAATAATAATAATAATCGTTCTCGTTACAATTTCATTTGAATAACTTTGCCTTGACTTCGTTTTTACGGATGCATTTATTTACAATGACTTTACAATACACACGCACACACATATGCACAATAACTTTCACTTACTGGATTTTGTCGAAAGTTTTGGGAAAGTTTAAATGACATACCATCGTTTACAATTGGTATAATTCGTAATTATGACAAAAATATATTACGAAGATTTTGTTGTTACAGTTTGTGACCTAATTTTCTTCTTTTTCTTTCTTTTTTTTCTTTCATTTTTCTTATTTCTTTAACTTGATCTTCGAGTAATCTATTCTTTTATTTCAAAAGATATAATAAATGTCTCGGGTATATTTTAACTTCTTTTCCGTTACTTCCGCGAGAATGCTTATTATTTCATCATAAAGAAATTTATTTGGTCTTAAACGAATTGTGTACGGTCACTTTCAAGTTCCTTTCTAAATTTATCCGATCTTACAGTGCCGAACAAAAATGTTTAATCGATATTTTATTTGTTTATAATATTTATCTGTGATATTATTTTCAAAAATTATTATTCGTTATTTAATTATTTTCATTCTAAAATATATTTCTCGTATGTAATGTCGAGATAAACGTGATGCAATTTATTTAACATTAAATAAGCTTAGAATGATTTCAAATAATTTGTATAGTTAATAAACAAAAACAAATTAAAAGAGGTATTATATTTCGTATAAATTTACGGATTTTATTCGAGGAGATATTTTTTAAAATTGGTTATACTTTTGTTCGAAACTGTAGGTACATAACAAGCATTAAAGTTTATGCTGCAATGCTATTATCACACAGAGAATGTAAAGAAAATGGTCAAACACGGAAGGCCTGTATTTAATAAAATGTATCGATCGATGAATCAGCTTATTAAATAATTCAATTTATTTAACATTACGAATGGGGGAAAAAAAATAAAGGGAAATAAACCTTACCGGTGACTTGAAGATCTCTTCCAAACGTTCTTTAGGTTCCTTGCCCTTTTTTGGTCTAACGAGTATAAAAATTTGTATAATTCCTGGAAAAGAACGTAAAAATCTTTCGAGCAACACTTTTCCTAAAAAACCAGTTCCACCTGTTATAAAAATATTTTGACCTTGGAAAGTCTCTTGTATTCTGTCCGATATATTGTTTATATTTGTTTCCGCCATTACGATTTGATTTCTTTTCTTCTTCTAAACAAAATAAAAGTACAACATTTAAAAAATGAGATATCAAATAATAGAAACTTATGGGTCGATTTATATTTTTTATTTATACGTTGCAATCGATTAATCAAGCATATCCTCGTGTTTTAAAAATTCGATCGAACGAACCTATCGTTGATTTCTTAATTGTATAAGAACAATGGATCGATTGTCGTCTTTATTTTCTTTTTCACAGGCTGAAATTAATTGGGTCACGCTCGTTAAAAATTACAAAAGCTTATTAAGCTTATCAAGTTGCGTTAACAAATAAAAAAGAAAGAGAGAGAGAGAGAGAGAGAGATAGGAATAAGGGAACACGTCCGTTCGATAAAAATAATTAAGTTTCGTAATGAAAATGACAATGGTTTATGAATAAAACAAATAGTTGACCCTTTTCCTATCTCCATTACACCGGTTAATGGTTTCGTTCAGTCAACTGCGACTATTTCTTCACGATTGCATATTACATCTTTACAGATTTTTATTTTTAATAACCCATCTTTTTATTTACGATTGAACTATATTTATTCTCATTTGAACGGTGAAAGTATGCACTCGGTTATGGTTTGTTTTTTTTTTTTTTTTACAAAGTTTATTCTCATGGTTTTTCACCAAACGTTAGACTTTACAATGCAACAGTCCATTGCAGTTAGTTTGTAATAGAAGATAGATAAATGCTTGTATTAGGAATAAATTCTAATTGTTACGCGTTTTAATATTAAAAGTTTACTTCAAAAATTAACCATACGCGACGAGATAAGTTCGTTTATTTTTCTGTGTTTTGATCATCATTACTTTCTTCCTTTTATAATTTAACACGAGTGCAATATTTGTCAATGTCAGGATTAATAAATGTAAAATGAAAAATGATTCGATCAATTTGTCAATGTAATTTTAACGTTTTGCTTCCGTTACGATTTCTAAAAGTTAAAAGTAGTCAATTGTGCAACGTGTATGTTCTAAGCTGCGTACATTCGTACTTATATTTTCATATACACACATAATATGTGTTAAGATCTCGAACTTGCTAAGTAAATAAGTAAGTAAAAAAGAAAACTAGAAAAGGAAGAAAGACTTTAGATAAGGAAGTATGGAAGAAAATTCATGAGAGAAAGAGAGATAAAAAAATTTTAATGCAAAAAGGTACGAGTCATTGAATTACGCTAGATATATTTAAGTTGAAGTTCTTGAGCAATAATTAAACAAACTGCATAGCAATTACCTGATTCCCGTTTTTTATCCTACGCACCATGACTAGGATATTATAATAATAATAATAATACATAAACAATCAATCGTATATCTAGAAAAAAAAAACTCTAACAAAACAATTTATTCAAAGATTGCAACACCTGTCCCGTATACAAATAGAAAAGAAAGAACAAACAATACGTATGAATAATTATAATAACAAATCGCATTATTTGTCGACGAAACTTCGGAGCAATTGAAATCAAAAATTCACGTAAGACAATTGCTTTGTTTTTTTTTTCTTTTTTTCTTATGACATACTCTTCTGTTAAATTAATTCTAATTCTATTATATCGTATCGTATCATATGTGTACGTTTTTTTCCGTGAGTTTGATTTGCACGCGCGTTTCATTATATAACTGGTTGTTAAAAATAATGAACCATGAAAATTAGGACAATATTTTTATTCTCTCACTCATTCTATGCATTTGTAAATATAATGCACATTTACACACGTGTGTTTTTTACAAATTTTTTGCCGGAACATTTTTGTTTGTTTGTTTTATTTTTTTTTTTAAATAAAAATCAATTTGACCGGGAAAACACACAATTGTTTTTGTGTCAGGATTAAAACTTATCAATCTATTCCCTACGTACATAATATATTGTAATAATTATTATATAATTTGAACATTTTTTGAAAAATTTTCTATAAAAGTAATTATATAAGTGCACAGTAATTGTGTATATTATATTATATAATAATTATTATCATTTTATATAAGACTATTTTATGCATATAAAGAAAGAAAGAGAGACGACAAAAACTAGTAATTAGGCCAAAGATATGTGGTTTTATATATATATTGTTGATAAAAGTCGTGGATCAACAATCGTTCTATTCACTGGCACTCTTATACGATCGACAAACAATATACGTATTACGCAACTAATATTATATTTTTCAAAAAATATCACGAACTAAATTTCCAATATTTATAAAATCATTTTCATTCGTATGACGTTGAACAATCTCAATTAGACACGTGAACCTTTTTCTCCCTTTATCCTTTTCTCTTTCTTTCTTTTTCTTTTTTTTGGTTTTTATTTATTAATTAAAAAATTAGAAATAATCGAGAACACACACTTACTAAAAGAAAATTCAAGTCCTTCGATTTCGTTGGAAAATGTACACAGTTCAATAATTACACGTTTGATGAAATTTAAAATTTCGATGATTTAATTGTGAATTATATCGAGGAGACGATTATTATTATTATTTTAATTTTCGAAGATGAAGAAAATGAAAAAAAGAAAGATAAAAATAATCGAAGAATGCAAGTTTTGTGTGTCGTTCGTCACTCGTGATACTCTTTACAGTGGGTATGTCAAAGACTGGCAAAGCATAGCGTTCTAAGTCCACTGTTTTTCGCTTAACACGCTCATCCACCAGATTCCTTCCCACTTATCCCCTAGAAAATATAATAAAGTTTAGGTCACACCATTCTACTCCTTCCACTATTAATACTTGCGTCATTATCGCCATCTTGGAAAAGCCCGAATTGATTTTTTCAATATCTTCTACCATACCATTGTATAATGTCCATTTTCATTAATTATAGGAATATTAATACACTCCCACCCTTATTTAATTATTTCTTCTAAATTAACAAGGGTTTTTTTGAATTTGTTTTATTATTATTTGATATTCACACACACACACACACACACTATTGTATGATATTATTTGATATTTATCTGTGATTCATCTTTGTTATGAATAAATTAAATAGTTAATAGAATGTTTAAAAAAGAGGGTCTTGTAATAGGAGTAAGATAAAAAAGATTATAATAATGATTGTTTTTAGTGTAGTTGATGAATTATCGTATTTCTTAGATTTTCATAATTATTAATTAAATATTAAAGTTTAATATTATAGTATAAGAGTATAAAAACACACGTGTATTAAAAGTTTAAGTTATATAAATGGTTATGGTAAAATAAAGATTTGATTATTATTTTGTTTTCTCTACTTCTTCGCGTGCATAGAAAGATTTATTCTAATTTCGACCAAATCTTTCAATAACCATATCACGTTTTTACATAATCATTATAATTTCCTTTTATTTTTCTTCTTAAATAGAATAAATCTAATATATCAGTAAACAAGATAACTAGGAAGTACCTTCAAAGAAAGAAAAAGGAGATTTATATGATAAACTAAGCCTTGAATAGAAAATTGTATTATAAAAACGTTTGCATCGTCATCTTATAAGAAGAAGTTCCCCTTCTGAAGATTGTTTTTCTTAAGTAAATGCGAAGATATAATTAAATAATCTCCGAGAATTATTGTCGCTAAATAAAATAAAATATCAATAATGTTTTTTCTTTTTCGTAGCAATTAAATGATGCGTTCAATTACATTTCAATAATTACCGAGGTGCATGACGCAAGTGGTGTTCGGTACAAAAATTTCAAAGAAACGGTTCATTGAATATTCATTATTAAACTAAATATTCTTTGAAATCGCATGAAATTATTTATCAAATACGAAATGCATAATTAACCGACTCATTGTAAAACAAACTTTAATCGTCTTTCCAAAATGCATAGGATATTTCTTTCGCAAGTATAATTCAATAAAGATGACAGTTAAGATCCTTCGTGATCTTAGAAAGTTATGTCATAAACTAAATTTTATCTCTTCCGTTGCAACCAAAATTTCCCTTTATTCTATTATCCTAACATCAATTATATATTCAATAACAATAATTGTTAATTTTTTACAACTCAGACGATCAATGAATACTATTGAAACAATCTTATATAAAACATTAGGCGTAATCATTGAAAAGAAAGGTAAAAGACACACGAGTAAAATAAAAGCAACAATTTGGGGTAAAGTAATTAAGGAAAAGTACAAAAACAATGAAAAAAAAGAGAATATTAACTCAAATATCAAATCTTTCAGAGCCGCATATATGCGACCTCGTTAGCGCAATTTCACTTTCATTATCTGCCGTTCATGTGCTCATACAGTAACTTTGCATTTTACATATATATATATACATTTACTTACTTATTCATGTATATATATATATGTACTTTTGTACACTTCCTTATACATATTTGTAAAAAGAAAAGGGAGGGGAAATATGTGCTTTTTTACTTTCGACACATTTCAAAACGACGTTGAAATAATTCGCGGTAAGGTCTGTCAAAAGTCACGTCGCGTCTTTTCAATTTTTTATTTCTATTTCCTTAGACATTTTTTTACTCCCCTCATCGTGTTCAATCGTTATATCATATTAAAACAAAAAGTATAAACAACAAAGATGACGATGTTATACCAATGCAATAATTACTATCTTCAACATCAAATGAATGGTTTTCAAGTTTTGCATTTTGATTTTTTATTGTACTTTATTTTATACATTTCATTAGTAAAATCGGTATCAAAATCATTGGTATATTAGTTAAAATAAAAGAAATAAATTTTTACAGACTTGATATCGTTGAAAGAGAATTCGTTTTATTGTATATCCAAAAAAAAATACAACACACATGTTACATATATGTAACATATTACATAAATTGTACAAAACAATGTTTACTTAAAATAATATAAGATACAATATGTTTACAAAAAATATAACAATAAAAAAGCCACCAAGTGGAAGAATTTATATATCTTTCCTTGTTTTAAACAGATCACACTATTTTGAATTAAATTCTTCTTGCACACACTCTTTTTTTTCCTCTCTCTCTCTCTCTCTCTCTTTGTCTTTCTCTCTAAGAAAGATATTATTTATTAATAAATATTTTTTTTTTTGAGATTCTTGATGATACATCAAGAAACTGTAAGATACTATAAGTCGGTAAAGTAAATGTCATCAAATTGATAAGGTAGATATCATCGAGTCGATAAGACAGATGCTACTGAGCCGATAATGCAGATAATATCCAGTCGACAAAACAGATAATATCCGGCCGATAAGGTAGATGAAAGTAAGTCGATAAAACAGCTACTACTAAATTGATAAAACAGATAATGTTAAGTCGATAAAAGATATAAATTCTTTTAGATTTCGTTTTTCTCAATTAATGCCGCGGCTACTCCATTGGATGTATTCATCCAAGAATAAATAATCCATGCGATAAGTATCCCAAAAAGAATTTTCACTATACAATCGGCTATATAAAAATATGATAAAACTTGTCTTGCACGAGGTAAGGTTGAAAGATCATCTTTCAAATAATACTTTCTTGTTCCTAGAATATAATTTTGCATATATTCGTCCCAAGATATGGCTTTAGTATCCATGAAAAACGTCTCTCTATCTTTCGGACAAAGACGATTTTGCAAATCTTTCTTCACTTCGTTTCTAGAAAAAAAAGTCAAGAGACAATAAAATATTTTTAATTCGTAGAATATATAGTTATAACTTTTTGGGAAAACTACTTACAAAAATATCCATTCTCTAGTAGTGTAATATTGCAGTAATTCTAAACCATATGTGATTCTTTGATGGACTCTCACTAAGAATGGTTTATTTCCAGTTAAAACTATAATAGCATCTAAAAGATACGCTGGTATAAAATGCAAGAATAACACGGTAAACCAATGTAAGAGTTTCCATGAAGTTACTCCTCCACCTGGATACCATAGCAGTCCTGCAAATACAAATACTTGAACCTAACATTCATCAATATATATATATGTATATGATATAACACAGCAAATTATATACGTGACATAATAATTATTAACCCGGATAAATTACAAAGAGAGAGATATGAAATTACGTGTCGATTAGTTCCAAATTATCTTTTATTATGAGTATTGTTGCTCGTAACGAGTATCAATTAAAAAATAAAAAGAAATAAAAAAAACCAAAAAAAAAACAAAAGAAAGATTATCTCTACGTGATTCCATCAAGAAATAATAAATTGTTTGATCAGAACACAAAATTGATTACGAGAAATCATGTCTTAACGACGCTACTCCTCGCAACGTATACACAAAAATAATATCGTATTTTAATATTTCATCATGTATTCATACGTATCTTCGAAACGAAATAAAGCAATATTGTTTATTGCTTACCAGAAAATGGATTACTCAGAGCTTGTTTCCTTCCAATTTCTATTATTTCGTTCCAAGATACAGGATTGTCTCCGCTTTCGGTGACATTCATGAAAATAGGTTTCTCGGGTTTTTCTAAACCAACGTGCCAAGCCAAAGCTATAATTGAATTGACAGCAATATCGCAGGGCATTATATCCGTCAAATAATCCCCGTTGCAAAGCATCGTACGTATTACACCTTTCCCTGCACCAATCATCAGTCCAGTTGGGCCATTTATATTATCGATCCAACCTGGTGTCGGTTCTTTCCATGATGCTATCACTGAAATCATAATCAAATGAATAATCTAATGGTGAAAGGAAATAATAGAGTATAGGTAACTCCTAAATAACTCCTAAATAACACGGCATTACTGCAACATACTTTTGATCTAACGCGTTGTGAAAAATGCATTTTGTTTTACATACTCTTCTTTAATTTTCAAGCAATACCGGCTTAACTCTTTCGTTATTACCGACCCATATACGAGTCATCCGTGCAACGGGTACGCGTACCAAAGAAATACTTTTTATCAGATTGTCTTTTATACGAGCGTATTATACAGGGAGTTATTTATATGAAGGATATCATCATACCTATCGAGGGACGAGCTACTCCAGCAGGTAAATTAGATCTGTACAAAAGATCCTCGCTGAGTGATTTGCTAAACGCATAAGTATTCGGTTGTTTACCGAGCAATTTAGGTGTCATTGCGTCTACAACATCATCAGGCATCGTGTTAACAATGGATATTACACTTTCTGGCGAAATTGCTGTTGGATATGCACGTTCTTCTAATATTTCCTCGCTGCACTGACAATATGATGTGGATACGTGTACGATGGACTCAAGGTGAGGCATCTAAAAAAGAAAACATCATTTCTCATGTTTTATTGTTCATTAGTTTCACAAAAATAAATCATCTTTTTATGATCTATTAAAATTCTTCGAGAATTATTTATCATACGTTTATATTTGTTTTTACATATACCACGTTACCTGTTTAGCAAAGGCTAAAACATTCATGGTACTCTTCGTATTAGTATTCACTGCGGTCTTCAATGGAAGATCAAATTTAACATTTGCAGCCGTATGAAATACCACAGAAATTTCTTTCAATAATCTTTCCTTGTCAGCTTCAGCCAAACCTAATCCATCTATCGTTATTTCACCGGGTATAGCAATTATTTTCTTCAATCTTTCCGGATACTTTTCTCGAACCTCGCGAAATGATTCACCCTAGAAAATATAATCAAAATCACATTCGATGATATATCTTATTTCTATCTTATAAATTTACATATTTTTATTAAATGCAAATAAGTCAGAGCTCGTAGAAATTATTCGGATATTAATAATTTGTTAGATCTTAGAAATGGACGTTGGGTTTGACGTGTTATTTAGAAATATATAATATTAAGGTTATTCTTGGAAAAATATGCCGAAGTTCGGGGTGTATTTATGGCATTCGCCTCTTAATCGAAGAATTAACTGGCCCGTATCTTAAGTTAGTGACGTAAAATGTGAAAGGACCGCTTCCATATTGAGAACATCGAGATTCATTTTCATTCGTATACTCGTGCGTGCTATACGAAAAATGTATCTACAGAAACACGTTCCGATAATTTTTTTCACTCTCCCTTTTTTCGTACAAATTTATTTTTTATCCAACTGTAGATAATTTTTTGAACGATCAATTCGTTCTCAAAACAGAATAAAACACACACAAGATTAAAATTAAATAATAATTACGTACAAGTAAAATCGATTAATTTCTTTTTTTTTTCAAATAATTGCATTTTATTTATTCGATTTCTGATGTCCTTATTAAGCTTCGTTTTTTTTTTCTACGATATTATGAACTACGTAAAGACGAATTCGAGGTTAAACGTTCGCTTTCACTTTTCTTCCCAAGCACTACATGATCCACCTACTTTTTTTTTTAAATCTCGTTTAAGATTCCAAACAGTAATTTTCTTTAAATAATTTTTCTATTACCTATTCGATAAAAAAAAAATATTNAGAAAACAAAATCTTATAAAATATTTCGACGAGAAAATTTATTCGATATTAAATTATTAATAACAAATCATATTATCCGTATATATATATATATACGGATAATATGATTTGTTATTAATAATTTAATATCGAATAAATTTTCTCGTCGAAATATTTTATAAGATTTTGTTTTCTTGCTTACATTAACAACAATAAAATAAAACATATTCATTATCCATCAATGATATTAAATGTTTCGCGTGAAAAATAAAATGAGATATATATATATATAAAAATAAAAAATAGAAAATAAACAATTATATAACAATGAAAATAGTGTCGAATGTACACATGTACTTTGCATAAAAGCAAAAGTTATGAAAGATTATGTTAAAAGTCGGTACCTTCTAATCGAAGTTGTGTCTAACTACGATCGTCAACAAATCTCTCGAAAGAAGATTACCTAAGAAACATGAATTAAAGATGAGTATTAGAGAGTTTGATGACCTAATTGAACCCGTAGTCTTAGAAATGTCCAAAGGAACTTTGGATGGTTTTAATGTTGAAAAAATATATTTTTTAATTGACACTCTCTATTTTTCGATCGTTAAATTAAAATGTCGGATTAGAAATGTTATTTCGTCAATCTTAATACTTTTGATAGATACATGTTCAAGTTATAAAATAATCCAATTCACATGTGTGATAAGATCGAAACCGGTAAGAAGGAATGATATAATTCAAGATCGAATTTACTTTCATACGATACTTTTTTCGCGTTTGATATATGTAACCGTCTAGCACATAAGAAAGTACATATCACAGACATATGTACAAAGACACGATTTCAGAATTTATGATACCCATTGCAACCAGTTTGCTTTAACATCATCTTATCATTTTTTGTTTGTTGTACTTTATATTTTGATCTTAATAAAACAATGTTTGATGCACATACAAATTTAATAAATAAAGAAGACAACTATTATAAAAGTAAAATTATATATATGCATGCAAGTCCGGTTTTAAAATTTATAATACTCATTACGAATCAGTTTGGTTTTACACAATCTATTATGCAAACAAAACCAAATTAGAAAGCTAATTTTACTTAACATCATTTTTTCTTTAATTATTATTTTGTTTTATTTGTGCATTTCTTGATTGTAAAAAAATAATCGAACAAGTTTTAATTCATAAATAATTCATCGTTTAAATTAAATCTTTGTGAAATTCTGGATAACTACGCTTAAAGAAATATCAAAGATACGAATAAATTTTACGAATTTATTTGTCTTGCATTCTAATTTTTTAATTTTACTATCTTTTTCCTGTATCTCTCTCTCTCTCTCTCTCTCTCTCTCTCTCTCTCTCTCTCTATGCAATTCTCTTTCTCTATATTAAAAACAGAATATTAATAAACAGTCATTTTATTATAAATTTATTTAAAAAGGAAAGATGGTAAAAAGAGGAAGTAAAATGGAAGAAGAGGAGGAAAAGGGGGAAGGAATAAAAAATGATTATTATAAGAATAATTACTAGTAATGATTACATAAGTTCATGAGAAATGACTTTGGCATCAATAAATTTTTTACAATAGATAACTATCAATATTAATGACAGTTTTTTATTTCTACGGAATAAAAATCTCAGGATAGATTGTTTCCTTACAAATGATACGATAATCATGAAATAATTTGACGAATGTATTAAACAATAATTGTAAGTATATGAAATTTCGTTGATTATTAACATAAAATATCTTGTCGAGAATTCTCAGTGTGCAATT